AAAGGGGAGGGAGGCAAAGGGGATATGAAACAAGCGGTCATCACGGGGAGATCAACGGGGGAAAAAAAGGTAAACAAACAAACAAACAAAAAAAATAAAAAAAAAATAGCAAACCCCCTACCGGGAACGTACAGTAAGTAGTACTACTCGCGAGTCTCATGTATACTCGGTACCTAGGCTAGGTAGCAAGGCACAGGAGTAAGGACCATGGGGTAAGGGGTAAGGGATAGTCTCTTTGTCATTGTACCTCGTACTTGTGTAGTTGCATGTAACATATTATGACAAGAGTTAAAAGTTTTGACTGACTGGCACAGCCTCACCGACTGATTAAGTTGCGTCACAGCCCCGATCCGTGATTACAAGACAACGACTACTCATGGAGATGGGCGTGCATACGCAGTGGGTGTGGATATACTTGTATGTATGTAGGTAGGTTAGGCAGGTAGGCAGGCAGGCAGGTACGAGTCCATTCATTCACTCGGTCAGCACTTGCAGAACCGGAATGAATGAATAGACGTGGGGACGATATGTCGATATTTCCTGTTTTGATATATATACATATATATATTCCTTTTTTGAACCTCACTCTCACACACACTCTCTCACACTCTCTCTCACACTCTCACACTCTCTCACACTCTCTCACACTCTCTCACACTCTCTCACACTCTCTCACACTCTCTCACTCACCTTAAACCACAGTGTGGCATGACAGATAGAGGAGGAGGAGAAGGGTCAGATCTCAGGTAAGAAGATCAAACCCCATGGCTCTCCTGCCGGCGTCGCCGCCCAACAGGCCCTTTTCGCCTGTAAACAACTGAAAGCTCCTCTCGCCGGGGCCCCTCCGAAAATCCTCGGGTGGGAGACCGTGTAGAAAGTCCTCGAGCTGCCGCTTGATGTATCGCTTGTTCTCGTCGGTGCTAGGCGTGGCGGCGATGTAGGCGACGCTGGCGTCGTGGTCGCCGTTGTGCTCCACCTCGACCGCGTGGCACATGTCGGCGTGCCACCACACCGTGTCGCCGGCTTCCATGCGCGGGATCCCCACCATGCACTCGCGCAGACGCAGGTGTGGGTGCGACGTCGGGCTCAGCAGCTGGCTGTCACTCCGGAACGTGCCGGGGAACCACGCGCTCTCGGGGTCAAATGTCCACTTGGTCGCGTCCATCATGTCCTCCTCTCTGTCAGAGTCTGGCGGTTGGAAGAACGGCCGCAGCATCAGGTACGCGATCGTCCACTTGACGTTGGGGTACAGCATCAAGCTGCCCTCCCCGAGCCCGGCCGAAGTCAGCGCCGTCCACCCCTGGAAGCTCCGAAAGACGCGCGAGTGGGCGCCGCCAGCGAACATGGCTTGGTTGGCCGCCTTGCGCGCCGTCAGGTCGTAGTTGTCCAGTGCCTCGGGGTTTCCAGAGAAGACAGCCGCGTAGACGGACTGATATGTGGGATCGGCCCATCGACATAGACTGCCCGCGTCGATATGGGGACCGAGACCGCGGAACGGGATCCCTGGTGGTCGAATGCGCACTGCGTCGGCGTAGGACAGCGGCGCTGGAGAATAGGTTCCGTCCTGGTCGTGCCACCACGAATTGAGCTCCTCACTGAGTTTGAGCTGGTTGGGATGTGACCGTGCGGCTATTTGTGTGGGCGAGTAGTACACATTGAGGATGAAGGGCGTCTCCTTGGGCCAGCCTGGAGATTCATCAGCCATGCACACGAAGGTGATCATCCCTTGATGGTCCTGTAGGTATATATCTGGTGCTTTCAGGTGGGATACACGTACCTCCAATCTGCGAACGATTAGCCGCAACATACTCCTTCAGATCCGTGAACCATTTGTCTGCTTCCTCGTGGGTGAAGACATTCCGGACAACGAAGCATCCGACATCTTTCAGGATCTGCTTCTTCTCAGGCGTGAGGCTGAATACCTCGTCGAACTGGATCTCAGGGATGACCGCGGTGCCCTGCTCGGCGATGCGGCTGGTGATTGATTCGAGCTCCTTGCAGACCTTGAGCCAGCTCTTGACGATGTTGTCCTTGCCATACTTGTCAACAATGGCTTTCTTGTATCCCACCAGGTCATCGCCAGGCTCTCCTTTGGCCGCCGTGAACTCGGGCCAGTCCGGCCAACTCAATAGTTTTCCTGGCATTTTGCTTTTTTGGGGCGGGTTTGATCTTGGTATCCTGTGTTCCTTCGACTCCCGTATCGTCTTTCCCCCTTGGTTCCTGCGTCCAGGATCCCCAAGATTAATAGTCCTAAGCTAACCACTGGACCAGGACAAGAAGGCCGTCGTCGGACATGTACGCCCACACGGGACAGCACAGGGTTCGAGAATCAATGGGCCTCCAGGATATACTTCTCCAGGGCGACACTCAACCTGCACTTGTTCAGTGAGAGATTTCCGTCAATCCGTCCATGCGGAAACCTTCACTGACCGACCAGGGCTCATCCAGCGGGAGACTGTGCTACCAAATCCGTCCCTTCGACACCTTCAGGCGGACATTGCCGTTCTGACTGCTCCACGGCAATCGAGCAGAGGGACAAGCCGAGGGTCACCATGCCAGCCTCGTCTCGTATCACGACCTGGAACGTCCTTCTCCAGATAACGCAAACCCAAAACAACGGGATGACAGGGTCAAAGCCGGGCCTCTAGGATGTTTGAGGGGAAGATTCGCCGCACTATCCGTCCCACACGGGCGGGCTCCTCCTCCTCCATGTCTTCACCAAAGCTTAGCTTCTGCGATAACGGGTGGTTCAGCACCTGGGTGTGGCTGGTTCAAGCATTCGCAACCCATGTGCCGTCTCTATCCCAGGCAGAGATATGAAAGATGCATATATAATGGAGCAGGTCCTCGGGCATCAACAGACACAACACAGACAACGACGTCGGCCTCTCAACAAGAGACAGCAGTCCTCGCAAACAAGTTCCTATTCCTGAAGTCACAATGTCGCCAATGCCTTGGGAACTCCCGGCATGGGTGCCTCGCCGATCGTGGCTCGCCTGCACCATCCTGGTCCTCACATCGTGTGTGACATCCACGGTGAGTACATACCTGGATTGTTGACTTGGCGCAGTCCAATCACCACGCGATCAATCATAGACTGACACAGGCGGCGCCCCAGACTCTCGGCTTTGATGGTTCCATGATGAATGGACTCAACATCCTCCCCTCGTACACCGACTACTTCACCCTGACCACGGCCACTTTGGCGCTCAACACGGCCTCAGTGTGGATGGGCAGCGCAATAGCAGGCATCGGGTACGCAAAAGTCCCCGACTGGATCGGTCGCAAGTGGGCGCTGTTCTTTGGTGCCGTCTCCACCATTGTCGGCGTCGTCCTCCAGACGGCTGCTCAGAATATTGCCATGTTTGTGATCGCGAGGATCTTCATCGGCTTCGGTACTGGCGCCTCGTCCATCGCTGCGCCTGTGTACTTGTCGGAGACCGTCCCTGTAAAGCTGCGAGCGGTCTCGTTGGCCCTTCTGTATGACTTTTGGTATGTTGGTAAGTCATCGTTCGCCTCCTGTCTCTCACAAGTGACTGGGACAATGGATGATCTGACGAGCATCCAGGCGGTCTGATCGCCGCGGGTGTCACCTACGGCACCGCAAAGATGGATTCCACCTGGGCCTGGCGTCTTCCGTCGGCTCTGCAAGGCCTCTTCAGTGTTCTCTGCATCGTCCTGATTCCTTTCACGCCAGAGTCGCCTCGCTGGCTGCAAGACCAGGGCCGCGGCGAAGAAGCTCTTCTGGCATTGGCACAGACCCATTCAAACGGGAACATCGATGATCCAGCTGTAACTGTTCAGTTCCGCCAGATCACAGACACCCTGGCATACGAAAAGGCTTTGGAGAAACCTTCTTTCGTGAAACAGTTCGCCAACAGCTCGTCGACGCGCAGGCGCATCTTCTTGGTCTGCACCGTCGCCGTCTTCTCCATGCTCTCCGGAAACAACATCATCTCATATTATTTCGGGACCATGCTCACGCAGGCTGGAGTTACCGACTCGACCACACAGCTGGAGATCAACATCATTCTCAACGCATGGTGTCTGGTGGTTTCCCTCGTGGGTACTGCCATGGCAGACAGGTTGGGTCGCAAGGCTCTGGCTGCCATTTCCACAGCGCTGTTGACCATCTTCATCTTCCTCGTGGGCGGGCTGACCAAAGTGTATGGCGACTCAACGAACAACTCCGGTATCTATGGGACAGTTGCCACAATCTTCCTCTTCCAGGGCGCGTACAGTTTCGGCTGGACCCCTCTTACTGTCCTCTACCCCCCGGAAGTCCTCAACTATGGCCTCCGCTCGCTCGGCATGGGGATTTACACTTTTCTCGTGAACGGTGTGGGTTTGATGGTGACCTTTTCCTTTCCCTTTGCGCTTCAAGCTATTGGATGGAAGACGTACATGATCAACGGAGCGTGGGACGTTCTTGAGCTGGTGGTGGTCTTGGTGTTCTGGGTCGAGACCAGTGGCCGGACGCTGGAGGAGATTGATGAGAATCTGGACGGAGAGGTCCACAGCGAGGCGCCCAAACTGAGGGCGATCATGGGCGTGGCGCCAGAAGATAGAGAGGGAATTGTGGATGCTTTGGCTTTGGGAAAGGACAAGAAGATGGAGATCCTGGGTGAAGTGACAGAGGTGGCTAAGGAGTAAGACTCCGTGTCGGGCTCGACTCGTTCTGTCTCGGCCATACTCTGGATCACGCCTGTGCCAGAGCGTGCCTATCGATGCGGTCACGGTGGTGATCACAGTTGACAGTCTTGTATTTCATTTTTCGTTCCCACTCTCATGTGCTTCACATCGCTTGACCGAATCCCATCCCAGCTTAATGCATCGAGGCTCCTAGCTAAGTTTTTTGCGGGAGGTAGACGCAGAAATCCTGAGTGGTGCTGGGCTTGTGCTGATGACAACCAACCGGTTTGCATGGTTGGAGCCCACACCGTGGTATCTCACGCGCCGGAGGTAGCCATCGGCGCCGCCCAACTCAGGTCTCTTTTGCCTCATTGGTTGTCTTGAATTTGCGACAGCGGCCATGAATACCCTTGTTGACCATACTGTCCAAGATGTTGCAGATGGCCAGGATTCATGGTGCTTGGCTGGGTAAGCAGTTCAAAATCATTGAGGAGGGTATCCCATCGTTGCCAATCCATGGCTATGTTGTCCATGATCGAGAAGTCGTGTGGCGAAAATGTAGGGTCCAAGCTACCGACTGGCTGTTCAAATTGCTGGATGCTCGCCATGGGTTCTGCGGTCGAACTATCTGGTGGCTGCGATTCTCCTTCTAGGTTGGTGTCTTCGGGTTGAAGAGTAGGAGTCGGGTTCAGTGCTGCAGATCGCCTGTTATATCTCTTCCCTTCTTGAACCTCTCGCTGTTTGCGAAGCTGTAGAATGAATTGCGGCGTATCGAGCCACTGCAAGCCTTGAGGGTCCTCCTCTTGCGCCTTTTGACGAGCTCGCCACGCCTTCAGGCATAGATTGCCGATCGCGATGTGAAGCGGCTTCTTTTGGTCGGAAACGAATCTTCAAGAAGAGAAGGTGGAGGTCAGCCTTGAACTTCAGGCAAAGACGTATAGGTGGACGGCTAGCAACTCCACTAGGAGGACGAATACACAAGACAGTGGATCGCAAGAGCATACTTGGGGGGGGAGACAACTTACGGGGGATGGTTCTTGAAAACATCCTCAATCTGGATCCACGCCTCGTCCCTGCCTTCGCCGGTTGGCCTTGCAATAAGCTCTCCCAAGGCAAATATAAAGGAATGCCACGCGAACCCTGCATCAATGTGCCAACTGAATCTCTGAAGGGAGCGATGAGAATGCACAAGGTTGTCGGCCTCCATCAGTGCCATACTCGTCTTCCACAGAAGTCGGCGTTCGCTGTCAGGAATATCCTCTTGGTTCGCGTAGCGCCGAGGATGATGCGACATGAATCTGATGCTCTTGCACATGGAACGCCCATAGATCAAAGCCATCATTTCGAGCGGGATAGAAGGATCACAATATCTCAACACCGTTTCTTCCAAGTTAGCCTGGAATTCATCGACAAACGCATCTTTTTCGGCCAATGTCTTGGTCGCCACCCAGCGTTGCATAGCCCGGTTGAGATCTTCCTCGGGGGTGCCCGCTTCCAAGAGCTTCCGCCTCCAGAAAGCGCCGACAGAATAGTGCAGCAAGCAGACCACCATTTCGGTTGGGCGAGTCTGTTCGACGGGTGATTCCTTCATGCCCGGCCAGATTTCCACGTCATTGACGTTTGACGGCACCTTGGTATTCCACCAATTGACTTCCGTCAGGCCACCAAAACCACTCAGCTCGGCCGCCCGAAAGTCGAGCAAGTTGATTTGCCACCAAAGCCGACGGCGCATCTCTGTTTCAAAAGGGGGAAGGCCAAGGACGGTGCCGTCTCGATGCACGCCCATGCCTTGGGCTATACGACTCGCAACACCTGACAATGTCCATAGAGTGCGTGCGTCCAGGGCTTGACGTGTAGTGAGCTATCTTTGATTAGCGATAGACAATTTGGGGAAGCTCAAACATCTTACAAGATAGATGACAAGTGCTTGTAGGACGACAATGTCGTAGGTCGCCATAAATCTCGCTTTTGTCAAGGCTCGACGTATGCCCAGTCGATATCTGGACTGCAGGACTGTCCGAGACTCGCCAAAGGTTGCTTGACATTCTCCGTCACGCATGGACAGGACGGCGCCGCCATAGATAGCAAACATCAAGGCTTCAAGCCCACGGGGGATATGGTCCAAGTCGCGGATAGCTTCCTCAATGGTGCGCTGTAGGGTCGGTTGATGGACAATCTTCATGAGCGGATTGACGTTGGTGAGGAAAATCTGCCACAGTTTGAGGACATGCTCGGGACTCGGGTGCAGGCTCGCCGTCTGAGCTGGGGAAGGCGTCACGCCGAGGACGAAGTCGGTCCTGTCGTCAGCAAGAGTGTCCAACTCATCCTCGCTCTCCGTGTCCGTGTCCGGGATGACATCTTTGCTATGATGGAGCTGTATGTTATGGTTAGTCAACTGAAAAGATTGGACTTGAAGAGGCAGACCTCTTCGCTGACAGTGGTCCACAGTTTACTGCTCGTTCTTTAGCTTTGGGACAAGATTGCGCTGGCGTGGAGGGAGAACACACTTCTGAATGAACCGAGCTCTGCCTTGGTCGATGATCAGCCTCCCCTGGACTGAACCGTTCGTCCACGGCGGCTCTGCGGGTTTGGACCCGGATTTGCTGGGATTGTCGGCATCGTCAAGCGGAGAAGACGTCGCGTCGATTTTGCTGGGCGTGGTGGATGGAGGAGTTGGATCGATACCCTGATCTCGGAGCAACTCCTCGTAGTGCTTCAAGCGAGCGAGCACGTCATCTTCTCGCGCCTTGCGTTTTCGACGGCGAGGGGCAGGGGGGATGCGGAAGACGCTGCAGAGGCGAATGATCAGCCAAGATCCGGCAGAGCGATGAGGGGACAAAAGTCAAGAGGCCCGGTCACCAGGTCAAAGCATCGCATCGGGTTGATATCAGGCAAGCAATTGGGGCATTACGAGACTTGCCATTCGACTTTAGAGCGGACGCAGCCGCTGCACGGATGCTGCTTGTCGCATTTGACTTTTCGTTCGAAGCATCGCACGCAGGAATAGGCCTTGCGAGGCCGGGTTTCTGAAGTGTTAGCACTGGGCTCCATAGAAATTTGCAGCATGGCCTAGGGGTTTGATGGGATCTCAAGAGGTTGAGTGGCACATTGGCACCAAATGGTGGGTAGAAATTGAGCACAAACGCTGACTAAGAAATGAGTCAAGAACCCCACGACAGACCATGTCCACCAGCGCAGTACCTGAAAGTTGTGGTCAGAACTATCTGCAAATCACTTGATCGTACGAAGTTCTGTCAATAATCTCTTGCATACTTGCTTTCTATGCTGCCGGCTCTATACTCCCAGTCTGTTGTGGTCCCAGCGCCCCCGGCCATTGTTGTGCGCCGCCATCAGCCACACAGCGGATCGATTCTTACCTAATCATTTATCAAGGCTTGGCATATCATTTCCGACCTTGGCACCGTGGCACCTCCATCTGAGATTCTCCTCCAGCTGGAAACCGGCTCTCTTACATACAGGACGAACTTGGGCAGCATGCCTTCGCGGCATTTCATTGATGCTCTTGATTCACCAACACACCCATCATGTGACCCTCCTCGATACAACTGACGGCACTCCCTCACATCAACTAAACAACCACAACTGGATCACACTAGGGCACGAGGGGCATCAGCCCGTCCAGATCTTTGCGTGTGTTGACCGCCCCACCGTCAATGGGCGTCAACTTGCGGTGCACGTGGCAGTCAGGGAGATGTGTCCCCTTGGTGGCGGCGGGTTCCCAAGGCCCATAGTATCACATAGTAGAACGCCGTGCAGCTTTGATGCTCGACAAGTCGTATACGGAGGCGCCGGGATCCATTTTTATGCAGGAGTTGCCATCGTGGTCCAGGAGGTTGAGTGCTTCTCGTTCCAGATAGAGCATTTCATGCCCACACAGCTCTGTGCCTACAATCCTAGCAAGCCATTCTGTGTTCTCGCATTTGGAAAGCAGTACGTCCCGATCTGCATGAGTCATGTTCGGGAGAACTTTGGGTGGGTCTGCAGGTCGGCTATTATTTTCAGCCTGTGCCTGCTCTCTGGCCTGTATGACCTCGTCGACAAGTTTGGCCAATGCAGCCTCTTTACTCTGCCTGGTCAGTGCCGACTGTCCCGCCCAGCCACCGGTTGGGCGGGTACTTCTGGTGCTGGACGGCCGGCTGCGTCGTGTACTGGCTGCGGTGGAGTCTCTCAGACTAGCCATGTCCAAATCCATGGAGGTAGGGGTGTCTGTGTCGAGACTATCTGAACTGTCTTGATCCAATCCAGGACTCATACCCAACATTAGGACTACCGTAGGGTCTGGGGAGCTTGTTGGAGCTGCTGTGTGGCCTGACGATGACTTTCATGGCTTTGTGATCTTCCTCAAATCCCTCAGTGAGAGATCTTCTAAATGCGAATTTTAGCCATAGTCTGGAAGGCTGTAGTACGTCTTGGTAGTATGATGGGGTCTGACGAGAGCTCCATGCCTCCATGCTCCTTATGTTCTGTTTTGGCCATAGACTGTGATGTTATGACGATAGTGGGCAGCTCGAGAGCATCCAATAAATCCTTGACTTTCTTGTAGTCTGCAGGCTCTACCTTGGCTGCAGGCTGTGACTGTGTAGGAAGAGCTGGGGGCTCAACAGGATCCGAAGACAGTACCACGAATTCGTGATCTTCAGGCTCTGTTTTGACCATATGCCGAAATGTTGTGACCAGGGTTGGCACCTGGAGAGGATCTAAGGAAACCTCCAGGCGCAGGGTTTCATATCACAGGCTGGGTCTGTAAAACCAGTGAAGTCCTGTTATAAGGACAACGAAGAATTGAAGAATTAAAGAACCTTGAAAGAAGGAACGAAAGAAGAAAGAATGAGTAATGACAGGCGGCGTTCCTGTCATGAAGGTAAAAATTTAAAGAAAGTTGAAATTTATAGGTGAGGTAAAAGTGAGAAAGTGAAGTGAAAGTGAGAAAGTGAAGTGAAAGTGAGAAAGTGAAGTGAAAGTGAGAGTATGGATGTGAAGATAGGAAGGAGCCGGGGGGGTTGCACCTTCTTGGCGAGGCATTACATTACTCTCCTTTTTAATATGGCTGATTGATGGAACACTAGCTCTCCTGTTTTTCCTTTTTTTTTGTTTGTTTTTTATGGCTGTTTCATTAATGATATGCTCTGGGTGTGTTCACTGTCCTGGAACGAGAATACAGGCCAGTCAAATGATAGTCCTGTAGACCATGTAGTTCCCTGCCAGTTGTAGATCGAGGTTCAAGAGTATAGTTGGATGGGAATGATCTCGGGATGCCTCAACGATATTCTTGGTGCTGGCAGCCGCTGCATCACAGTGACCTGGAGAGAAAGTCTAGGTCTGCTTCAGGCATCCAGTCAGCCCACCACCAGCGGCCGACGCTGTCGAGACCGAGTTGATCCGAGAACAGGTTTTGGTCGTCAATGTTAAAGGTGAACGGCGTACTGGTGTTCCATGCCGACTCGGCGGTGATAATGGCCTGTACGTCTTGCGGTGATTCAGCACTGGCCTGTAAATGATGACCTGTGTGCCCTATGACGACCACTCCGTTATCCGACCGGTTCAGGCCGGTAAACTCCTCAACTCCTTCTAATGGTGGTGGTGGCATTGCGGATATTGGATTCTCGACCACCAGCCGCCATTTCCGACACAGCTCGGGGCCAAAGGGTGCAAAGAATTCTTCCTGATCAGGTGAGAGAAATATCTGCGCCGACTGCGCCGTTTCTGGGAGAGTCGTGGAATGCTTCATCATCTGGTTGACCACTCTCTCAGCGCCGATGGCCGAGGGAAATCTCTTTTTGAGCTCGTTTAACGATGATCTGATAATCTCAGTCTCTTCCGCCCGATGGGTGGCTAGCGACGGAAATCGCTGGTAGGACAGCTGCAAGAGTGCGGCGACCATCAGGTAGAAGATGGACGTGACTGCGAGATGCGACACATCCTCCCACGTCAGATACTCCTCGAAGATGCCGGACACAAAGGACGCGGCGAGCAGAGCGACGGGTGACGGCGGCTGATCTCTCTTGTCCTGCCGGAAGAGAATGATGAGCGAGGTGAAGTAGATGGTGTGGAGCTGCCGGGCTTTGAAGTTATAGTCATTCAGTCTCTTCGTCTCGGGATTGTATAGTCGCAGGCTGGGTGGGACGGTTTTCAGCCATCGGCGGAGGCTGTCTTCAAAATCGATCTTCTTGCGATCCGACAGGGTCCCCCGACGATACTCCTCGGTCATATCTCCCAGGATGGAAGTGATCTGGGCAAAGTGCATGAAGAGGAGTGCGTCCTCGTCGTCGCCGTCGAAATCGTCCAGCCGGAGGGGGCGAACATTCGAGTCTTCTGCATTGACCGCCCTTGGACGCCCGTGACTTGCGGCTATCAGATTGTCCCTGGACTTTAGCATCGTGTTAGCTTTGGGGATAACCATGACAGGTCATGCGTCCCTTACAACCAGTGCCCACCAAATCCTCCGCCTCAGCTTCGCATCTGCCATCCGGGGGCCCGGTTCGCGATGGAGACCCATCTGGTGCGCGAGGGCGGCGCTGAGGCGCAGCCAGAAGCTACTACTGTCAATGGAGATGTGCTCCGGGCCAGACGGATTCAGCCACTGCAGGAAGATGGTGGCCATGATGGCGTGGAGGTGATTCTGCTCGGCATTCGTGTAGAAGAGCACTTTGGCCCGCTGGTAGCACCTCTGGCCCTGTTCCGCAGCCTGCGGCGTTGACGAGACGATACTTCCCGCCACCAGCATGGACGTGACGAGCAGCGTGTCATTGGTCTTTGCATCCAGCCGCTCCAGGTCTGAGGCATTCACGAGGGGCATCCAGGGCCGACACCTCTGCAGGAAATTCCTCAACAGTGTCTGCCGCAGCGTGCCCTGGGGCAGCTCGAGCACGGATAGGTTGCGCCGGATCTTGACCTCAAAGTTGTGCCATGAGTGCGCGCGTGCACCGGGACTCTCGTAATGAGTCGCATCGTCCTCGTCAATCTCGGCATGGGCGGGGATGTAGTCGGCGCGACCGAGATAGCTCGAATGCTGGGATGGGGTCAGGGTCGTCGTTGTCGTCGTCGTCAGCCTCTTCCTACTCGTCTCGCCAATTGCTGGAAATCGGAACTTTTCATCCTCCTTTATGGATCGTGCTGGACTACTGCTGGTAGCGGCGGCGGCGGCACCAGTACCAGCAGAACTAGTAGCACCGTCACGAAGGAACACCTGACGTCTGCGTTTCCTGACATGCGGTCTTTTTGGATAGATTCCCCTCCAATGTCAATGAGGTGCTCTCGGAAGTACATATATACATATCTCGGACAAAACACGGGGACCCTTACAGACAGGCTCTCCCAGCATCGCGACAATTGGAACAAACTTCGCGTGTGCTCTCGTGGAGGTTCTTGTCACATCGGACTTTTCGCGTGTGGCAGGCTTCGCAGGCGTTGCCTTGTTTCGAGCTTCCGGCGACGCCGGCGATGGAGGCGTCCAACGTTGTCGAATTCACCCATGTCGTTGGGTCCTCGAGCGACATCTTTGCCCTGTTGTTTTCGCCGCGGCGATCACTGACAACGCCGTGGGCACAGGGGGTAGGGGGGTAAATTATTACCGAATATCAGATTGGGAAGACCAAAAGAGACTCGAAACAAATGAGCATCCGGACAAAAAGACAAGCGCCGCGGCAAAAAGCCACTTGCAAAATCGCCGAATCTCCCCGCTTCCCGCTTCCTCCGCTTGGCCCGTCCGGACTCACAGGCTTTCGGACGATCGAGGCTGTCGGAGAAAGGATTGCAGCTCAAAGAGAAAGGCTCATGATATTCCAGTTGGGAAACAAACTACTAGGTACCGCTGCCACGAGGGATTGAGAAAATGGTTCGTCATCCGTGTAACCACCGGTTGACCTCGTTTACGAAACCACAGAATGTCCTTGAATACTCGGCCAAGTTCTGATGTTTGTTTGGATATGCATCTATAACAATGAAACGAACGATCCGAACAACAAGATGTCGCGGTGATGGAAAGTCTATATCCTCTATATCTTCTATATCATGTCTCGCCGTCTTTTTACACCTGATGTCCTATGCCCCAAGCTTCTTCAGGGAATTGACCGCATCGACGATCGTCTCTTTCAGGGGTCGGTATTTGATCCCCAAGACATTGATGGATTTGCTGTTGTCGATACCCCAGGGTGGCGGGGTGTTGGTCAGCTCGTCCTTGAGATTCCCCCTGATCTCTGGAAAGGCCTCTTCCATGATCTCCCGAAGCTGCGTCTCGGTGGCCAATTGAGCAGCGACAAAGAACCGCTGGTTGGCCGCCTGTGGTCTTTCCAATGCGAGCACATGAGCCAGAGCCAAGTCTCGAACGTCGACGTGGATCGGGGAACCGACTGGTCCAGCTCGCGGCGTCCCACGGTAGAGATTCAATATCCGCAGGCTGGAAGTGTTCAAATCATCCAACGATTTGACTTGATGGAGCACCGGCCCATATATCATGGGTGGACAAAGGGTGGTCAGAGTAAAACCTGGTTTCTCTGCCTCCAAAAAGTCCCAAGCAGCCTTTTCGGCGAACTTTTTGCTCGCTCTGTATGCCGCTTGTGGGTTTGGCGCCGTCAGAGCTTCCTCCATGGTCATGTCATTCCAGATCTCTTCGCTGTATACCGCGGGTGGGTTGCGATAATTTGACAGGGCAGCGAAGGAGGACGTGACCACCACATGCTTAACAGACTTTGCTGATTGGTGGACAGCCTTCAGAATTCCTGTTGTCCCATTGATGGCAGGATCAAGCAAATCCCTTTTGTTGTCGGTCACTTTGAAATGGAAAGGGCTGGCAGTGTGCACGACGGCCTCAAACGGTGGTTCAGCCTGGACGGCCTCGTCGAAGGCGCCGTCTACCGCGATATCTTTGACGATTGTATACGAGACTGTTTGGCCCTTGAATAATTCTTGCAGGTACTGTCCTTTCTCGTCAGAGCGTACAGTGACAACCACGTCGTGCCTAATGAATGGTTAACGCTGGATGCCATCCAGGGCCGGAAGTGGTCAAAAAATACCCATGCTTGAGTAGCTCATCCAAGCAATGTACAGCAAGGAAACCGCTGCCTCCTGTGAGCAAGACTTTCATGACGGAGAATGTTTTCAAATCCCGCTCTTCAAAGATCTACGATGGCCAGCAATTCGGGGAGGTTGTCTCTGATGGGAAGATCGGTTCGTCGCTGGAAAAATTGGGGGTTCCATTATAATATTATTTTGTGCTATGGTCCTTCTATTATGTCCCGCGCCCGGCAATTCGCCATTTGCTCCCATGTTCCCACCTATAGTCTAATGTTCAACCATGCGGTGATGGAGGGCGACCACCAGAATGTCCTTTGTTTTTTCAATCATGCTGACGAAGGGACGAGGCTTGAGGTTCCGTGTTACGTTCAGCTGAGCGATGGCCACCACAACGAAAGCTGCATTTTTGTCCCGAGCATTTGCAATTGAAGCGCCTTCTCTGAACTGGTGGGGGAGGGAGATTGTCAAACAACCTGTTTAGCTGACCGGAGTTTGACGGGGCGTCTGCCGTTCACGTAGCAATTCGGTGCTGTGGGTGTAAGCTAGCAGTGCTACCGGCGGTCTTCAGCAGTTTGTCAGCCCAGAAATGAGTTGCTGTGGGCGGTAGAGGATGGGACCAACGGAGAAAACAACGAAAGGCGCCAGAGCCCCAAATAATAAGTCCGAGTGTGCAGGGAGGTTTCGTCTGACAAAACGATAAAGCCATTTCACCCACCTGCAGGGCCGAGAAATATATTGTCAGACAAAACCTCTATTCCGAATGTCATTCAGGACACCGAATCAACGCTGGACGCAGTTGTGTATTACACTTCGCCATTGATATGCGGTCTGTGGCACCATCACCCGCAAGTGTGCCATGCGCATGATTTGTCGCCATGTGACGCCTCCAGCTATAACATTGTCTACAATTTTCGTACCGGCACGGCTTTGGCAATGGCTGAGAGGCGTTCGTCTTGTCGTGCTTCTGGCCTGTCTGGCTTCCATAGCCACGGTCCACGCACAGACACCTGGCCAGATCAGAGCCCTCAGAAAGGAGGCTGAGGATCTTTTCTATCATGGCTTCGAGAATTACATGTCCTATGCTTTTCCCGAGGACGAATTGCGACCCATCTCCTGCAAACCCTTGACCCGCGACCGCGACAACCCCGCGCACATCGAAGTCAATGACCCTCTGGGAAACTACTCCCTGACCCTTATCGACAGTCTGTCCACCCTCGCGATACTGGCCTCCAGCCCGTCAAGTTCCAAGCAAAATAAACCCCTGCGGCTTTTCCAGGACAGCGTCAGGGATTTGGTCGAGCAGTATGGCGATGGCTCCGAGGGCCCGTCGGGTCAAGGTTTAAGAGCGAGAGGATTCGATCTGGATAGTAAGGTGCAGGTGTTTGAGACAGCGATACGAGGTCTTGGTGGGCTCTTGAGCGCTCATCTATTCGCGGTTGGCGAGCTACCGATCCGCGGCTATGCCCCTCCTCAAAAGCAGGTAGCGTATGCTGAAGCCTGGCAAAAGGACCAGTTTGGCGGCAAGAAGCAAGGAATTGTCTGGCCCAATGCTTTTGAATATGACGGCCAACTTCTCCGGCTGGCATATGACCTTGGGAACCGCCTGATCCCTGCCTTCTGGTCGTCCACCGGTATACCATATCCTCGTGTCAACCTTCGACATGGGATCCCGTTTTACGTCAATTCTCCTTTCAATACTGGTGCCGAAGACGGCCGATGTGAAGCTCGACCAGGGGCTGCCGAAATCACAGAGACGTGCAGTGCCGGTGCTGGAAGTCTGGTGCTTGAGTTCACAGTCTTGAGCCGGCTAACTGGAGATCCTCGCTTTGAGGATCTCGCAAAAAGAGCATTCTGGGCGATCTGGCAAAGGCGCAGTGCTATCGACCTGATTGGCGGCGGGATTGACGCAGAGAGCGGAAACTGGATCGGCACTTGGACGGGCATCGGTGCTGGAATCGACAGCTTCTTTGAATACGCTCTGAAGTCGCACATCCTCCTGTCACGCGACGCTCATCCGGTCTATAACAGCACTGCCTCACAAGATCCAAGGATTCTTCATCAATCTTTACCTGCGGAAGATTCGACGTCCGAGGCCTTTCTCGATGCTTGGAATGCTGCTCATGCGGCAATCAAGCGGCACCTTTATCGTGGACCAACATATCAGCACCCTCATTACATCCAAGCTGATTTCTCCACTGGCGCAGCAAGAGGATTCTGGATGGATGCATTGAGCGCGTACTACCCTGGCCTTCTCACGCTTGCGGGACATGTTGACGAAGCCGTGGAAACTCACCTTCTACAGACAGCTCTCTGGACAAGGTTCTCTGCTCTGCCGGAGCGGTGGAATCTCATGACAGGTGGCATTGAAGGTGGGCTTGGTTGGTGGATAGGCCGACCAGAGTTCATCGAGTCCACGTATTATCTCTACCGCGCGACGGAAGATCCCTGGTACTTTCACGTTGGGGAGATGGTCCTGCGGGATATCAAACGACGATGTTGGACGAGGTGTGGCTGGGCGAGCATCCAGAATGTGTTGACCGGAGAGCAGACGGATAGGATGGAGAGCTTCTTCCTCGGAGAGACGGCAAAATACCTCTTTCTTCTCTTCGATCCAACACACCCTCTCAACCGCCTGGATGAACCCTTCGTCTTCACCACTGAAGGCCATCCATTGGTCATTCCGCGAAGTGTTGCCAAAGGCTCCCATCCTGAGGCTGTCTTGCATCCAGTACACGGCGAAGAGTTATTCTGTCCCGTCAAACCTTCACCCCTGCCGCTGACCATTTCCAGTATTGCTTCACGGGGCGATGTCTTTCATGCAGCTAATCTGGCTCGACTTCATCTCATGCCTCATAGGGACAATGTTGAATCTGCTCTTGGTGAATACGCGGCAGATCACCCGAGCATTACCCTTTTGGATATCAGCTCTCCTTCCAATTATACATATTATCCGTGGACGCTACCCCCGGAACTGGTCCCTTGGAATGCATCAAGCTCGCTCATCCCGACTCCACCGACACTCGACATTTCCTTCCCGGCAATGTCTGCCCCTGGTCAACCTGTTCCTCCCCTCCAGCGCGTAAAAGACGGGATCTTGATCAACGCGATCAGCGGGCTGCGGCTCGGAATGATTCGCGATTACCCTTTGCTTTTCGAGGACGGGTTCCACGACGCATTCCGCATCCAAACAATCAACAACATTCCCCTTGGTAAAGATGAGAAGGTGTACCTAGCGCGCGACACGGGCAGAGATGTCCTTAGCCCAGCAGATCCCAATTTCACGCGTATTCGCGACGCTGTCATGTTGGACCTGGTAGTCGATCTGGATGGGTCGATTGAAGACTCGAACAATGGAAAAGCCGACGAAGCAGCGGCGACCACAGCAGGCCAAGAGTCTGGAAACGGCGGAGAAGCACCGTTGCTCATTGATCTTCCACAATTCGAAGATGTCGCAAACGATGGTGCCATGCGGGCGGCGTGGAACGCCATTGTCTCTCAGATCTCAAGCCTCATCAGAGAAGGGCGTGCTCCATCTCCCTGGCCGTTCTCAACGCCTCTTTCACTCGTTACACCAGTAGCGACGAAGCTTGCCTCTCTCTCATCGTCGTCTTCGGCAGAAGGAAGACCAGGCAATTTGCTACGGTATCACCTCTCGGCTGTGACACCAACAGGCCCTGGCACCGCACCACTGCCAGACTGGTCCGAGGTCCCCACCCTAACATCATCTGGGGCCACCGTGCCTGCATTGTCGTGGACCAAGATCTATGTGACGGACGAACTTTGCGACCACAGGCTACCTGTCAACATAGTGAGGCAGCACCAAGTGCTCGTGATTAAGAGGGGAGGATGCGACTTTAGTGCGAAGCTGGAGAATATCCCTACCTACAAACCGAGCGCGCAGGCACTGCAGCTGGTGATTGTCGTGTCGCATGCAGACCACGACGAACACGACGGCGGAGAAGGAGATGATCACCACAGCGCTCAGAGTATCTTGGACGACGAATCCAACCTGATTCGTCCGTACCTGCACCGCCGCCAGACGACCCCGGCGGGCTTACTACGACGGAACCCGATCCCAATGGTCCTCGTGGGCGGTGGCCAGAGGGTCTATGACGCCTTTAAAACCGGTGCCGTCGCCGTGGGCGTCAAGCGACGGTATCACGTCGAGACCAAGGGGGTGAGAATCGCCAATTTGGAGATTATCTAGAGATTACGTTCTCCAAAACACAGATACAGATATAAGATCAAGGCTGTGTTTGGCAATTGCACGGGATCTGGTTCGAGTATTACTGCTATCATCACGGGCACTATCACTACCACTATTAAATGGTCATTAACGTGACATGTACGGTATATACATACACGTATGTGCCCGTGTCTGTGTCTTCCTATATGTATGTCGATAAAGATGCCAGAGTTAGGGATCTTTCTTCGGTGGATGAATACTACCATGATAGACAAGACATGTGTATTTTTTATGGTGATTACATTGATTGACAACTATTCATATATTGAAAACCGAGTGGCGAATCCTTCTTCCTGTTCAATTACGCTTGCTTGCTTGTTTGTGCACAATTATCTTTCTGGTAGACGACGGGGTACAGATTAAACGAGGGCAGAAGATTAGTACGGAGAAGAGGGTTGCGAGTTCTCTTGGAATGCAAGCACACCACACCACATCAGGAAGGGAGGGAGATCAAAGTCAACAACACGTCCATCATTCCAAAGGGTCCCAGTACTCCAATCAACATCCTTCCGAGCTCGTATCATGCATATCAGATCCTACCATGAACATTTTCACCATCGACCTCGCCAGCTCTTCTCGTACGCGCGGGCCTCTTCCTCCGCACGCTCGAGAGCACGCCGCCACTCCCGCTCCATGCGCAGGGCCAGCTCGTCGGGTGTTTCGACGGTGGTGGCTTCTTCACCCTCTTCTCCAGTTCCAACAGGCCCTGACTCGGCGGTTGGGCTCTCGCATCCTCTCAGGCCGATGAATCGTCCCCACCGTCTTCTTTTCGTCTCAAGATCCACACTAACCTCTTCGTCGGCGGAGGTCTGCTGTCGGGCCTGGTAGAGACTCGTCCAAGCAGGGATCCATGCCGGATACTGAAATGTCTCTTCCAGAGGGGGTGTTACTTGGTGGTACCATCTCGCCAGGGAATCAAGTTGCTCATGTGTCAGTAAATGATACTGGAGGAGGCTGGTGGGGAATTGCGGGTGTGGGAGGCCATTTGTCACGGATATCAAGGGGACTAAAGGCGCACGTAGATGCTCTACGCTGGACAAGTAATGCTGCTTGTTTCGCTGGGTGGTAGGTGAAAGAACGGGGATGACCTTAACATGATATTTGGGCGGCGGGGGATGACGGGGCTTTGATGGGAGGCGGCTGTTCTTCTGCGACTGTTTTCTGATCGGAGAGCGAGTTTGAGCTCTGGTGGGGTTGGAAGCGTGAGAGCGGGCGAGGAGCCTACCTTTGGTACTGGACGATGTGGATGTGATCATGTCTGCTTGCGCAAAGTCGCAGACCATTGTTACATCAGAGGACGGTGTAGATACAGTTTCAGACTGATCTTCTTCCAGGATGGTCTGATTGGTAAGGACCGTGTTGACACGCAGAGGGAGCGTCATGACTCTCTCACCTGCCGGGCCGCGCATGGCCATGCGGCTCTGTCGGCCATCTTCGCGCGGGAAACTGGCTGTTACCGGAGTGCGCGTGATTTGGAAATGTGCTCTCTCTGGCGTGCGTATCTGATCTCGTCCAAATCCGGGGGACATCGGCGGAAAAGCGGCCGGTGTAGGGGATATCACTGGTGATGCGAGGCTGTTCCGTCGACAAATAGTGCCATTGACATTGCTGCAAGACCATTGATTTGGGGTGTTGATCGATGTTTGGATAGGGGCCATACCAGGGAAAGTGGTCACAAGCTGGGGGAGTGGTTGAACCAATGTGCCTTCAACAGTTCTAGTGTAGTGTGGCGACAATGGCGATGGTGGAGGAAGGGATGGGGATGTTGGGTTTGACGAAGCCATGACTGTCCTATTTGATAAGTAAGGATTGTTAGACTGTATCGAGACGTAGATGTGACCACCCTACAAGCTGGGTGCTGCAAGAGATGGTTGTCAGGGGAGGGGAAAGCAGTTATGAGGGAGTCCATCACCAGCAAAGGTCAGGCCAGAACTAGACCAGATCTTGAGGACAATGGGCAGAGTCCGCCTAGAATAGGCGATGTATGCACATTCTCCTTTGATCGTGATAAATTTGGCAGTCCCGGCCTCATTGTGATCAGGAACAGACTGGACAACTTTCCTTTGTTTAAGATGTCCCATTTCAGAAACTAAGACAACGGAAGCCGAGAAGGAGGTCGAAAGAATGCATACTGAGCATCGGGAACCAGGACATTCTCAGCCACGGGGTTTCCAGGTTCAAGCAGATGACGGATGACAACAGATGGATGTGCTGGAAATCCCCGTGTGACAATCATAGGGGTGAGATGTTCACTTGCACTTTATTCAATGCTTGATCGGAATGCAATATCCCCTCCCAAACAGCATCCGTGCTCTTTGTTGTCTCTGGTCATTGTTTCAAGTCAGCTACACCACCAGATGATGTCGACAAGGAGCTTTTTGGATGGTCCCGCCATAGGATCGTCATTGGACTTTACTTAGCTCTTTCTTGGGAGTGGAATTGCAGGTGCTTGTTAGATTGATCATTGGCAGATAAGGATCTTGTCAAGGCTGTGGGATACTGTTTGTTCAAGGGGAAGTACGGAAATGGATATCGTCTTCCAGATGTATGGGTTTTTGTCGTCGATCACAGATACGAATCTGTGTCCACACTTTACTCCTTGTCCTTTGGGTCAGCAACTGGCCAAGGATAGCTAGTGGCACGGAGTCTTGGTTGGTACCTTGAGAGCCTTGGTAGACATCCACCCCCCGAAAGAGGAACGGAAGCACTACCCCCAACCGAGCTGCATACTCGTCCGCAGGGATGGAGAAGGGCTGGAGGGGCGTGTTCGATCTAAGACTTTTGTTGGAGATGCAACCTCGGGAGTCAGGAACAGAGAGTGATTGGAGAGTGAGGATGGTACTCGGTAGTGCGTTTCCGTAAGGTGTGGGCTCTGAGTAAGGAGTTAGGTAAAGGAACGAGGAGCTGCAGGAGGAATCGAGCTCGCTTTTAGCCTCATATTGAGGTGATTCGCTGGGTTGAATGAAGGAATGGAGATGAACGGTGAGTGGATGAGTTGAAATGGATGAATGGATGAATGGATGGATAAGAGGCAATCCCCCTCGCAGGCAGAAAAGTGAGGGAGATGCCGACGCCCAAGCACCAAGCCCCAAGCCCCAAGTACCAAGTATCGAGTCACCGAGTCAAACTATCAAGGACTAACTAATGGATGGGGGGTTCTGGGTCTCTGGGTCTCTAGGCTTCTGGGCTTGGGGGCTTGCAGCGTTACGGCCTTCATTGTGCCTTGTTCCAATGTGTCCCTCTTTTCTTGTCCCGCCTCCGACTTGTATTCGCCTTTGCCCTACGCCTACGCAAACCTCTCCCTCTATCCTTCTTGTCGCATGGGCTCAATCAGCTGCTGGTAGGGGAAAGCCAATTCCCCCCTCTACCTGTCTACCCACCGGACCTCATCCTCGTCTTAATCGCGCTCTCTCTCTCTTTTCTGTTCCTCCTCCCCCCCACCATCACCTCTCACTCTCTGGGTTCTCTAGATGTCCATCGCACCGACATGAATCCAAACGTGAGCTCACCGCTATCTCGAAGCCATACTGCTTTTCCCTGTCTCTTACCCGATCCACGTCAAAGGTCACACTTTGAGCCGCAACGCACATAAGCCTCACCCCCACCGTTACGCACACCTCCTGTTCTCATGATCGGTCGGCCTGTGCCCCGGATAATCTGCGACCGACTTCGATGCCACTGACTGCAATCTTTTGCTGCGTTCGATCCCACTCCTCGAGACGCCCTTCACGGGCTTAGTGTGTACTTGCAGTCATGCCATTTTGTCTCGGAAGTAAAGACGAAGAACCAAAAGACGAATACGACCAGCTCCCCTTTGGATTGAGATGGCGCATGAATTGGGCGAAGAAAGAGACCGACCCTGCCACTGGGGAATCTGTCCTGCGCCTCAGCAATACTCGGATCCTCAAGACGCATTGTGCCAATACCGAATATCAAGCCCTGATGCTGATCGATCGACACACTTCTGTTCCCTCATACAAAGTCCTCGCGGTATACAACAGACCAGAGGGCAAACTAGTCGAGTACGAAGCTTACCCCGGAAAACCCCTGCAACAGGTCTGGCCGACCATGTCTGCACATCAGCAGAACAAGATTGTGGCAGATCTAGGGCGCTTCGTTGAGCAACTCCGCAAAATGCAACCACCGAAACAATGCGTGGTCGGGGATGCCACATTGGGAGGCGCACTGGACCACCGATTTGGCTCCGGCCGCATAGGGCCCTTCTTCTCAATCGAAGCTTTTCAAGAGTTTGAGCGAAGAGGCCACCCGCCGGACGATTTCCCGGAAAAGGAGATTCGAATGGTTCATGCGCCTAAGAAACCATACCAACTCAAGTTTACCCATGCAAGCCTCTGTCCTCAGAATATCCTTGTGGACGACGCCGGTCGAATATGTGCCTTGATCGGGTGGGAGTCGGCCGGATGGTATCCCGAATACTGGGAGTACACTCAAATGTGCCATCTGACACCCAAGGTCATGGGCGATTGGCTCGACGCCATGCGGAGAGTGATGCCCCAATATGACCAAGAGTTGGCATGCGAAGAAGCTCTCCGGGCCAGATATACCAGCTCCATATATGATGCACCGAGAAGTATACGGGCTCCGAGTCCTTCCCCAAGTCAACTACAGGCAGAGCAACAAGAAATCGACGATAAGAATACCGAGGATACTAGTGGCTAGGAGCTGGCGAGAGGCTATTCATATCATGGAATTTCCCAATCAGAGCTTGCTCTCGCCGGAGGTCAACCTGTATCAGGGCCTTACTGAACGTCAGGTGGTCCAAACGTACCCAAAGAGACACCAGTCTTTTCGCAAAAGACCTTTGAGAATTAAACCACAGAAGGGCGAAGCTTGACTGCTGGCGCATGTTGAAGAAGGAGACTGAGGTCTTATCACATGGAGTGTGGAGTGGAAAAGCAAGACAAAAGAACAACTCCAAGCTTCTGCATGGTGTTGCTGAAGCGCACGAACTGGAATGAGGCGCTAATGTTTTGGTAAGGGACCAAGTATCTGCTGCCATCGCGTTGGGTCGGATCTTTGGTCACTGGTGTGTATTGTCGGAGGCCTTATTGGAATGGCGATGGCACCAGTCGAACTGTTTCTTTATGTTTTTTTCTTCCTTTCTTTTTTTTTTTTTGTTTTTGGATCGATGCATAGCGAAGGCGTCGGGCTATACACCAAGGGAGGAGTGGGAATACAGGCACCAAGACCCTAGCGAGTGAGATTTTGAGTTGGTTTTAATATGTCGACGGCGGCGAGTCGTTTGCTACGGCGCATATAGGTGCCGTCAAGCAAAAAGATCCAGGGATCAATGAGCAAAGGACCGAGAAAGTCGGTTGTGATAGACGGCCGAGTGAATGGCCAATTTTGGATGGGTTCATAATTGAATGCATGCATATAATATATCTACATGAGTACCTACTTGGGTATATTTGGTCCATTTGGTCCATTTTTCATTGGATTCAAAATTCAAAATTCACGGCAAGACAAGTATCCGCAGTTCGCTGGATGGTGGGTGGTGGAGGTGGTAGGCGCCGTTGAGGAACCCCGAAACCGGAAAATAAAAAACCTTGAAAGGAGCACGATGGGGTGGCAGTTGGAAAGCAATGGGGAATGAGCAATTAGGCAATACGCAACGCCAATGCCAATGCCAATGCCAATGCTAATGCCATTGGGAATGAATGAATAGGTAAGAATGGGAGGAAAAATGGGAATAATAATAATGGATATATCACTTCTCCGCGGGACTTGAGCAGTCATCAGAATAATAGTTCCACGCCCTCTCTCGCTCTCTTTCCATTTCCCCTTTCGAGACTCGGAATTGATCAAAGAAACAATAACAACAAAGACAATGGATGGAATGTGAACTGAGCAGCCCGCGTTACTGCATGGATGCCTGGTTGTTTCACCCTGATTGGGACATGCATCTGAACTAATAGTAGTACTGTAGGTATCTATACATCTATGATCTGTACGAAAGTATGGATTCGATAGCGAAGTTGGTGAGTAGAGTTTCATCCCTTCACCGGGGACCTTTCCCTCCCGGAAAACAAGTGTTGAGTAACGGGACTTCCATCTTTCATCCCCTTCTCCACCACTATCACCACCGTCACCACCGTCGTCATCGTCGTGCCCTCCGACCATCACAACTTCGTCTCGGTCTTGGTCTTCGCCTCCCCCTCGCCCTTGTCCGTGCCGTGCTTAAACGCTCGCGCCACGCGGTCCAGTACGTCCTCTCGCCCGGGGTTGTTGCCCCCGTTGAGCCATCGCTGCACCGTCGCGACCTCCGAGGCCTTTCTGGCAGCTTGGTCCTGGTGCTGTCCGTGTCGCTGCTGCAGCTGCGGTCTCTGGTCTTGGTGCTCGTGGTGACGGTGGTGGCCACCACCGCCGCCTGTGCTCCCGCTTTTGACGCTGGTGTTGCTCCAGGTGTGGTGGCGGGTTGACTTGGTTGCGTCTGAGGTGGTGATCTGCGGCGGCATCTTGATGGGGTGGGGTGGGAGCGGTGGTCCTTAGTTCGTATTCGTAGGGGGATTGATTTGTTTTTCGGGGGTTGTGACTTATTAGAGTCGCACCTGATGAGAGATATATTGGTCCCTCTTGTGTTGTGTTGTGGTGGCAGATCTATCTTCTCGTGATGTGACTCTCTGGTATAGCAAAGTGGGAACGACGGTGACGACAACGACGACGGAATAGGTATATCGCGATCGCTTCTCTTTCTTCGTGTACGGGTCTGCTGGCAACAGTAAAAGGTGCAGAGGTGGCGAGGTGATTCGAGTTCCACGGGTGGATGATCAAGACGTTCCGTGATCCGTCGTCAAGTGATGCTGTATTGGTCTCTCGATAAACCTGAGGCAATGATTGATATATGTATGTACGTTCAATCACGATGTGTTCATCCACATGGAAAATCGACTGAAGGGTTGGGGGTGAGAAAAGAAATGGGAAACCATGAGGACTACTTAATGAACTGCCTGCAACAGGGAGACATATATCAACAAGGACATGTCTCGTATACAGCTATTGAATGTACCATGGGGAGGGAACAGTCAAAGCGGTCCTTGTGTACTGATGTGGCCTTCAAAGGTTCCCATGAAAACTGTTGGAGATGACCACGTTCAGCGCAATCACGAATCTGTTCAAAGTCCTAAGGTTGTCTCCGTCACCTTGAACCGATGAACCGGGGTGTGATGGTAGCGAAAGGCTTCTGCTTCCACCGTTCAAGAAGGGGGGAACCCAGTCGGACCAAGCACGGCAGCGACAGACATATTTTTGTCTATCGAAAAGTCCTCTGCGTGCTAGACAATGACAAAGGGTGGATACCGTCTGATCAAAGAGTCTCGAACATTTGAGTAAGTGGTTGAAAGCATGCTTGAACGCAAGCAAGAAACAAGCGAAGAAGTCGGATATCGATCCCCACAGATGGCTGTCGTTATTCATCAAGGCGGGCAAGGTCTCAGATGGACCGCGGAGCTGGAGAGGGACCAGACAGAAGAGCCTATCGAGCCAATCGAGCCAAACAATGTGGATGCCTAAGGCATGGGCTCCCTTCGAGTAGACACAAAAGTGCAGCCTGATGAGTCTTGAGGCTTCGGGGAACAAACATCGCTTAGCCTGTCAGCAAGGACTTTCGAAGGACCTTTGTTCTCACCGGTGATCGGCATGGAGGGGGGGGTTAGTTTGGCTAGGAAATCATCATGCTCAGGTGATGGTCCTGTCAATAACGGCGTTAGTTACGAGCATATCTCGTACAGTACGACAAACCGAGTACTCGTAGGTTTTAATTTTCTGACGACGGACAATAGCCAAAAAGCTGGATTGCCAGGGGTGATTGCTGAGAGGCTTGAACTCCACAAGGGGGATGGTAAGCAGCCAAGATGATGGTGGCACCCAGGTGTACGTAGTGATGTTGGTGATGGTGGTGACACTGATGAGTGGATGTAACTGGGACTCGGGGACGTGGGAGGAGCCTGTGGGCGCTTGATCAAACATCCATTCATAATAACGAGCTGACTGGTAGGGGAACAATCCCCCCAAAGACTCTTTGGACCCATTATTTGTTGAGTGGTGCGTAGCAGTACGGGGTACTCGTAGTGATAGCGATGGTGGTGATGCTTCCACTGTTGTTCTCGCTTGCCCCCGTCTGCTCATTTTCCTCACAAAAGAACGCAGAGAGCAAAGATAATCTTCTCTCAATCGTTAAACGAAAAGGGAATTGATTGTCAAAAGGGAATCGGAACGGGGAACCACGCGGCCTTTCTACGAGCACCTTTGAGTGCTCATCAGGCCCCGGGATCATGATACAGCTGACCATGGAATTTGGATAGCGCTCGGGGGCTGAACAGGAGCATCCGGGCCCCAATGACGGAGGTGGTGAGATGGTTGCCTTTTTAACAGAGAGGCAGACAAGAGAGAAGGGATCTTTTGATGGAACCTTTGAAGCGAACCACCCCACACCAGCGTCTCCTTTTTAGTTCACTTTTGGTCGACGTAGGTGCGTTGGTGCCTAGATGCTAGGTAGGTGTGTGTGTCCAGGGAGATGTCTAGGTGTCCAGGTAAGTGTCTGCCCTAGGTAGGGACTGTGTAGGTAGAGTACCTAGGGAGCTACTCGTAGATTACGAAGGTAGGTTGTAGGTAGGCATGTAGTCATAACTGAGTAGCAGCAGCACAGTGGTTCCTACCTGTCTTCCCTGTCATGCTCGTTCCTGGTCCTGTTCCCGCTTCTGCTCCTGCCCTCTGTGCTTCGCTCCTTCGTTCCTTCCTCATGCCTGGCGGAACTGAATTAGGCACAAACTGCGTCTTTTCTTCTCATCTTCTCATCCTCTCACCATCTCATTCACTCACGCACTCACTCACTCATGCTTCCATCCATCCATCCACCATTCACCATCCTCCAATCCAGCAATCCACCACCACCCGTCCATCCATGATCCACACAACTCATGACCCAAGGAAAGGACCGCGCGCCCCGCTCCGGTCACTCAAAGCTCCGACCAAGTAAGATGCGGATGTTTCTGTTATTTTTTGCCACCCATCAATGCTACACCTACCACAACACCTTCTTGGTACTTCATCGCATTGACCACTTGATGGAACTTTTGGCTCAAGCCTTTTTCCTTTGACCAGCCTCCTTTCTCTGATCCAGTCATGCCACAACTCCACAAACAAAAGAGTGGGAAATATTATGGAATCTTTGTATCTCACTGTCTCCATGCTACCTACCACATCCAAGTCCCAACCATTCGGTCCCTCGTTCATTACTCGTTACGTCGACTTCCATTCATGCCATCCCCCCTGGTTCCAATGGCTCTTGTTTCGAAGGAACCTTTGTATTAGGTGGGTTATTCTTATTTCCATGGTTCTCACCAGCATCCAACTAGGCTGTTTTGACTGCTAGTTATGCTGACTCGGTAACTTGTATGACTCCCTCATCCCTCTCACCCTTCTTTCCGTGACCCCCTTGCCCGTCTTCCAAGGTTCCAAAAGAAAAGCGGCCCCCAAAAAAGGCGCGTGAGGCTCCTCCCTCCCTTCCAGGCAACCCCCGTTCTGCCTTGGTTCACAAGAGCAAGGAAACTGCTACTACTCGGTACTCGTAAAAAGGATGCCAGATGACGGGCCCTCTTTTGCCACTGCAGCGAAACAAAATGTCCGGCCTTCGACTTCGCTACAAAGAGTCCAAAGTGGCCTGGGCTGCAGCATCTGGCGTTTGTAGCTCTCCTTTAGATTGGGTGTGATCCTGTTGTTCCTCAACCTCGCATGGCATCCCGCGTCTGTCTCCTGCCTGCTTGGACAAGTGTACAACCTTAACCCGGGCTGCCCTCCAAGGGCTGGCGTGCTTTCCCGCATTCTTTCTATCCCAGATTCAGCGGTTGTGGCTTGAAGGGCTTGAAGGCCTGTGGGTAACCATGAGACCCTCAAACCTGCCACGACCTCGTCCCCAGCCCAGCTCGGGCTACAAACGAGTCCAATCAAAACAGACTCGCGATGTTGCTTTCGGCCCTCACAAGGACCGCATAGAAAAGTTGTATATCCATGAGGAGCGGCCCCTGAATTGGATCATGGACTATATGAGAAGGGAATATGGTATCAATCTTTCGTGAGAAACCCTCCCCCAGATCAGTCCTACCACCTCATGTGCTAACGCAAACATGTCCCCAGAGTCAAGCAATACAAGAGTCAGTTGAAGACCTGGGGCCTCAGACACAAACTCACCAAGCGTGATGCCGCCTTCATCTTGAGATTGCTGGACCAAGCCAGGAGTGAAGGCCGCGACGAGGTTGTCATCTTCTCCGGGCACCCGAGGCGGCGAGAGGACATCACCAAATACATCCAGAGAAATGAAAAGCTGGTCGATGAAGCCGACCTCCTGTCCTGCATCACCCAGACCGACAAGATACCCGATTATATCTACCTGCAGACACTTCCGGTTGAGCCTCAGCAGCCACCGCCCTCCCACCTACCGCCAACGCCCCCATCTGCCAGCTCATTTGGCTCTCTGGAGTCTCACGCCTCCTTCAGGACTATCTCCCCAATGAAGGTCCCCATCCCGTCACCAGAGTCCAGCCCTCGACATTCGGGTGAATTCGCCCATGAGCTGAATCGTGCCACGACTCTACCAGGTCCCGTAGACGCTGCCGAAAGATTGCATGTCGATTGGAGCATCATCCATGGTGATAATACTCCGGTTCAGCAGCAGGCACTCTTGTCCCGCAGTCAGCCAGCTATCCCGAACATCTTGGGCCCATTCTGGCGTGCCCAGCGAGAGCCGATCCCCTCTGGCTGGTGCCAGCTATGGGACAACAATGACCCGAGCGAGCAATGGCCGTCTGACTTCACCCATGCTGTGCTGTCAGCGACCCCCGCTGTCGTTGAAGAGATTAGCGACCTGGACCTGGACATCTACCGGTTCGGCAACAATACCCGAAGCCGCCAGCTCAACGACAAGAGTCTGTCGGCCGATTTTGTCATGTACTGTCTGTACTGGTTGATTTGCGCCGGCCAAAATGATGCCAGGATCCAGTCGAGGGCCGAGTACTATTTGACGAATGCCCGGTTCAATTTCTTGTGCATGCTCACGAATGAGAGCTTCCCTGCTGGAGAATGCTTGGGCGCGCTGAGCATTGTATCGGTGCTGTTTGACTGTTACGGCCAGTGGGACAGGCTCTCGGAGCTGCTGACCAAATGTGACGAGTTGACCAAGAAACACTGCGGACTCGACAACCCATTGACCATGACCATCGAGTTCAAGAAGAACATGCTCCAGCGTAGTGGTGCGGGTTGCCCGCCGCATGATATTGCTCGCCTCTCGGACATTGTGACTCAGATGCAGATTGCCTTCTCCGAATCATCCGCGCCCGCCCTGACTGCCAGGTATAACTTGGCCTGGGCAATGCTGGAGAATGAGCTGAAAAGGGAAGTGAGGGCACCCGAGAACTTTGAACCTGCTCGAAGAGAGCTGCTTGACCTCACCCATCAGTGGGAGCAGTTCGGAGACGACCGCATTGAGACCATCATGGCCGCTGCCACCCTAGCCAGGGCCACCTTCTATTGCGGAGATGCAGAAGGGGCCGAAGCTATCATTGTCCAATCTGTCTTGCCCCGAGTGCGGAAGAATTTTCCCGAGCAGCATGCGTATAGTTGGGAGGCGAAGCACCGACACGCATTCTTCCTCTTCCAGTTGGCCAAAAAGGAAACGGGCGCGCGGAGGCGCGACCATCTGCAACTTGGCGAGCAGCTCCTGCGAGAAGTCGTGCGGAACAGACACCGCATTCTAGGCGAGTCCAACCCAAAGTCGACTCACTCGTTCCAACTCCTCAGAGATATCCTCAAAGCACAAGGCAGGATACTCGAGGCAGACACACTATCCGACTGGTGTGAGCAACAACAGTCACCATCAGGGGTGCATTGAGAGGGAGGCTATACGTACGACTGAATTGCCAACATTTCTCTCAAGCAAGGGATCGACCCTTGTAGATCCCTTCACCGTACGCTGCCTCAAAGCCGGTCAAGATATGCAGGGGGGCCTCGGTCGCCACTGGTAAAACTGTCTTACGTGTTTGCGTTCAGTTAGCATCACGGTCCAACACTGTCGCTGAACAGGAACACTCAATATCGAAACGTCTACTAGAAACTAGATGGGCCTCCAAACCTGCGTTCAACCACTGCTCGGGTAGCTCCAAGGCTTACATTCACCGTTTCGGCCTCCAGGCGGATCTTGGTTGAAGCCATACGTGCCATTCGTCCCATAGCTGCTAGCAGCGCTCGACGCCGACATTGTCCGACTGATCATACCGCCATCTAGTGAAGACATTGCGTCTGACTCACGCCTCGATTGGCACCGAGAACCACTGTCAAAGTTGGACCCAGGCGAGACTTGGGACGACCCAAAGACCGAACCATTGCTTGAGCTATACCGTTGTACCAGAGAGGGTCTCGACGGCACTGGAATCGGGGACACGCCTGTAGCAACATTCCCTGAGGGATTGTCGCGGGAGTTGTGCCTCGCCAGTTGTGATTGAGGAATGGCCTGTCCCTGGGAAGCCCGTTTCCGATCCTGATGGATTCGACTCTCCGAGTACCCTGGTTTTCGTGAGTACCATTCAACTGAGAAGTAAAGGAATACTCACGCAATCGTCTCTTGTGTTCATCGCTTCTATACCACCTTGCTGTGTCATCGCGCAGAGCTTTGATCATGTGCTGCAGCATAGGCTTGAGTGGTTGCGACTTGACATGACCTTGGCAATACTTACCCTCGGGGGTTCTGCAAATGACTGAATGACATATCGATCGCCTTTCTGTGGCAGAGTCAGCTCGCTGCTCGAGGCTGTGCTGTGAACCGGCCTCAAGTTGTGTACATTATTCTCCATTACCTTGGCATCCCGGCCAAGGTAAAAGGGCAGATCGCACTCGACTACCTCTCGCGATATCCCTTCTGTCGGAATGGCAAAAGTGCTATATTGAGGCATTGTCACTGAGATGGGGCAACAGCTGCCTTGTGGGGGAGCACAGGATCTTGATTTTAGGGGCCAAGCGGAAGGATTTCATGCAAGAAAGCTTTCAGACGGAGCGATCATCAGTGGCGAAAAGAAGAGATAAAGACCTGGCTCGCGGGGATCGATCGCTGTTGAAATATCGGGAGGGGGAAAGAGCTGGCGGGAGGTAGCTGGCTCGGGTTTGCAACTTGCCAATCGACAGCCATGGGGGAGCGTCGAGACCTCGACAGAGCTGGAGCGGGGTATTGGTCTGGTCCTTCAATTTGTCCCTCCAAACCGAAGAGCCTCAGGTCGACGACGTCCAACTCCAACCGGTGAGGGTCATGGCTCTGATTGTTGTGGTGATGCAGAGGCCACGTAGGCCGTGAATGCAAGCCATCAATCCTTATCCACCAATATCATGAGCCCGGACGAGCTCGCGGAGGGAGACAAGAGCTGCTCGTCCTTCGAGTTGGACAGCTCTGAACACGGGTAGAGTGGGCCACGAGCTTGTGGCTTGCAGGTCGCTTGCTGCAGGGCTCGTGGTTAGCCGAAACAGCAACTGGTCAAGAAGAGACGATTCCGGCCTGCGACGATTCTCGGAGCCAGAAAAGTCCCAAATATTTGAAGAGACGGGCAGAGAGGTGACTTAGTGACGAGAACTGAAGGGACGAGGAAAATATAACCAACTATACAATCAAAGAGACAAGGAAACCCCGGCAAAGTCAGCGGCGATCACGAAGGAGCCGCCAATGCATTCAAAAAGGGGATCGCAGGTTCGCCTAGACAAGACCGGACCAGACCAGAACAGCACCAACCTCCTTGGTGCTTGGTTGACGCGTTTACGAGCACGCAAATCATGGCCCCGGTGGCCCTCTGATGCAGCATGAATAAGCCGATGAAATCGAGATGCTTCCCCTCCGCAGAAGTATGGAATAGAGCCAAGTCAAGTGTGTCTGCGCAGTACAAATTGTTACAGAGAAGTCCAAATTCCAGCTTTGGGTACCCAAAATTTCTATGTCCAAAATTCACCATTCCGGGCTACCCATCCCAGGAACGCCCAGGGGACCGTGGATGTCCCTACGTCACAGTCAGTCGCCCTGGCCCAGAGTGTTCTGCTGCCCTGGAGGGAGAGAATCCAGTGGCAGACAGAGATGGGAGATTGGTGGCTTGATTGTTGGAAATATAGAGGTTGGAGGTTGGAGGGAGGATGTCGTAGTAGTACGAGAGCCACTGATTGGGGAGGGTCAAGGCTCAAATCAAATCCAAAAAAAAATAAAAATTGTTTCCTCCCTGAAATAGACCAGCCCTATCACGACTGTGACGAGGCTGCGGTGGCGAAGTTCCCGAATATAAGGGCTTTACCTGATATATTGCCTTGTTGCTGGGTGGATGCCTCCACGGCCAGCATCAAATGCGTTGTACGCACAACCAGCTCTGCGCGGAAACAGTTGGCGGTGGTGAAACCGGACTGAGAAGAAGGGGAAGGGAGGGGGAGCGAGAACTCACCTTGGATCTCGATCGTGAAGGTCATGGGCATGTCGTCCAAGTCGATGGTATGACGATTTCCATAAAGCATTTCATTGCGATCACGCACTGCGACCCGCAGACCAACGTTCTTTCTGTAGTCGGTCCACATGATGTTTTTGTCCGCTCCTATCGAAGGGCAGCTCGTGGTTGGTGTTGGACTCATCTTAAAACTGTCCATCTCTTGCTCTTGTTGCCATAGGTCCTGGGCGCGATCCTGGAGCCATTGTTTCCACACCCGCATGACGCCTTGGCCCGATCGCACAATGTGAACATTGCTGAGAAAGACCCCTCTACGGGGTCCAAGCCTCACAAGGCTAGCATAGGCGCAAAACTGGCCGAACAACTCGTCCGCATCGAGATTCAGGGTGTGCATGACTTTGGTGAAACCTCCATCGCCTCCATCGGCATAGATGGGCATTGTTCCACTTGTTGAGGATGACGCGGTATTCAGCACGGCGCCCGCAACCCGTCGTGCGGGCATTGAACCCGATACTCCAGGCCGCTCGGGTCTGAACCGGCTGTAGAGCCCACCTAGTTTCGCGAGCCTTCCTTCTTCTCCGTCACAGTCTTCGTAGAGGCTGCCCTTGCCTTCGTGTTTGGAACTGAGCCCATCGGTACCAAGGTAGGTACAAAACAAATAAGGGTCGCTGTATCGCTTGCTTGGATGGTACGCTTCCAGGATCAACTTGTAATCCGGCAAAGCCGCAGCGAGGAGAAGTCGGAAATGTAGGATTCTGAGGATGAGGGAATGGAACCGTCGCGAGACCACGACCAGCGGCAGGAGGTCTTGAGTCGAAAACCCCGAGAGGATGGACACCAGTATCTGTGAATTCAGCACGAGAAAAGCCCGCCCTTGGGCCGGCGTGTCAAGCATACCTCATTGGGGAGATCGTACAGGCATCGAGGGTTGCGAGCCATCATCTCACCAGACGGGGCACGACTCGGCCCATTGACGTTGGCTTTACCAACAAAAGGGTATCGATCAAAGACCGGGTTGGCCGACTACATCCAGCAGACCATAAGCGCCAGAGACAGAGAGATCCCGGCAACAGCGTCGATTCAATTCTTCACCAGAAGAGTAGGATTGCTCCAAGAAAATGTATAGTAATAATGTGGTCAGGAGATGTATGAGTCGACCCCGAGATCGGAAACTCATTGATCGCGACAAGAACCAAGAATGGCCGATACGCTTTTTGCCGGGCGTGGCCGATAAGCCCATTGACGTAATCAAGCTGCGCCCGCAACGAGGGGCTTTTCCGCGAACATTCTTTGTTGGACTGTAGGTAGAAACTACAGCTATCAGATGCGTGCCATGATGGTTTTCCTGGCGGATTGTCTTGAGGCGGAGATACACCGGGTCTGCCGTATTATGGCGATATACTGGCCATGAGTGCCATGTTGCATTGGCCCACTGAATGAGGTCCACATTTTCCTGATATTGAGAAAGTTCGCAGGGCAATCTTCATTGGCAACAACATCCCCCGCCACACCACGAGTGTCACAATGCCTGACAAGATCCTGGACGACATCTCGCACCGCCGTTATAACCCTCTGCGTGGCAGCTGGATTCTGGTATCCCCTCACCGCACCAAGAGACCATGGCAAGGTCAGCAGGAGAGTCCTGGGGTCATTGACCTCCCGGTATACGACCCTAAATGCTACCTGTGCCCGGGGAACACGAGGGCTTCGGGAGATGTCAACCCCAAGTACGAGAACACGTTCGTGTTTGTGAACGACTACAGCGCCGTCAAAGAGCTGCAAGAAGATTACAAGTCTCCAGACGAACCGGGGAGCCTGTCCAGCCTTCTGCTACAGGCCGAGCCAGTCAAGGGCAAATGCTATGTCTTGACCTTCAGTGCCGCGCACAATGTCACACTGGCGGACATGTCACCCGATGAGATTCTTCCAATTGTGAAGACATGGACTGAAATCTACACGGCGCATATCTCCCCCAAGTCACCGCTGGTCGCGCAGGCTAAACCGACTCATTTGCCACCATCTAACCCCCATGTAGACGTTGGACGACCCAGGGACCAGTATCGGTGGATGCAAATATTCGAGAACAAGGGCAGCGCCATGGGCTGCTCCAACCCTCATCCGCATGGCCAGATCTGGACGACCACATCGCTGCCTGAAGAAGCCGCGATTGAATTGGAACAACTGAGAAAATACAACCGCCAACAGGGCGGTGGGCACATGTTGGTTGACTACGCCCGTCTCGAACGAGAAAAGAACGAGCGAGTTGTCTTCCAGAATGAGACTTTCCTGGTCATCTGCCCGTGGTGGGCCACCTGGCCTTTTGAAACCATGATATTACCCGTCAAACACATTCGCTCTCTGATCGACTTGAGCGAGAAGGAACAGATGGACTTGGCCGAGGCAATAGCAGAGATCACTCGACGGTATGACAACCTCTTCGAGACGAGTTTTCCTTACAGTATGGGCATCCACCAAGCGCCGCTGGACGGCAACGAAGAGGAGATTGAGTGCTCCAGTCTTCACTTGCATTTCTATCCTCCGCTTCTGAGGAGCGCGACGGTCAGAAAATTCCTCGTCGGGTATGAAATGCTGGGAGAGCCACAGAGAGATATTACACCGGAGCAAGCCACAGTCAGGCTGCAGAATTGCGGAGGAGAATTGTACAGGAAGAAACTCGGCGGTAACGAAGGAGAGGTGGTTGAGACCCCGCCAGCGTCCGACAAGCCCAAGACTGAACTCAGCTCATAATACCCAATGGTGATATCTCGAAGAATTTCTTTATCTGACATAGAAGCCATATTGAACTGTGCTCCAAACCAACCCAATCAGCGCCACAGTGACCGGAGCAAGCCACGGCCCTGATGGCGAAGTGGTCTTGTACACAAATGCTTCGAGGCTGAAGTGCGCAAGCCCAATGACATTGGTCAACATCTGCATCTGAAACCACGACGCCTCGTTGATGTGATAGGCAGCAAATACTCTGACGATCCCAACTGCAAGTGTCCACGTCCCAAATGTCCTCGAGGAGAGAGGTGTAGCTGGGGAGCTCCCTTCTGGGGAGGATTTGCCCTTGGTTTGAGTTGCTGGAGCTTGGCCTGGGTAGAGACGTCGCGTGTAGGAGAGGGTATTGTAGCATTGAATGGCGTTTCCAATCGCAGTTACGCCCACCTGGAGTTCGAGGTTAGTGGAGAGCAATGTAAGTTTTCCTGGCGCAGTTCAACGTACGAACAAAATGTAGAGGGGGAGGTATCCCTCTGCTTGAGGAAGCAGAGACGCCATTTTGGAGATATGACACTGCACTGGATGGACACTCGGAATCACGGAGTGCTCCAAGAAAGTATAGAGTCTCAAAGGTGGACGGAGGTGTGAGGCCCTGGAGTCTGAAGTTCCTCAACACTTTTCGTTGATGAGATGAAGACGACCCGTTTCCGCTTTGGGTTGAAGCCGCGCAGACCCTTAGCGATTCTTGTTGGCACGCCGGGTAAAATAATTCCAACTGGTCCTGTCCGCATGCTCCGTACAATGATTTTGGGCGGTCTCATTATCTGTCCAAACCGTCTGTCACTACCGGTCTAATCGTCTGCTTTGATTCCAAGCATGGCAACGACAATCGATCTGGAGCCCCTCGGCCAGCAGAGTCTCCCCTCAACTCTGCTCATTGGCATTGGGGTCCTCACGCTCGCCTCGGTCGCCTTCACCGCGACACGCGTATTTCTGAGTACTTTCATTCTGCCTGGGAAATCTGTAAGTCTGCAAGAGAGTGTACAGGACCTGTGGCTAACATCTGTCGTTCAAAAGCTGTCCTCGTTCGGCGGGAAAGGCTCATGGGCAGTCGTAACCGGCGCATCCGATGGCATTGGAAAGGAATACGCCCTACAGCTGGCAAAGAGAGGCTTCAGTCTCGTCCTTGTCTCCCGAACTGCGTCGAAACTCGAATCCCTCTCGGCCCAGATAAAGACCTCTTCTCCAGACGTCTCGGTGGAAACTCTCGCCATGGATTTCTCGCAAAACTTGGATAAAGACTATGCATCGCTGGCGTCGCTGCTACAAGGCAAACGCGTTGCCATCCTGATCAACAACGTGGGCCAGAGTCACAGTATTCCTGTGACTTTTGCGGAAACACCCTTGCCCGAAATGACAAACATCATCAATATCAACTGCCTAGGAACACTGCGGGCTACTCAGACGGTGCTCCCGAGCATGCTACCACAAAAGAAAGGGCTGATCTTGACAATGGGATCCTTCGGCGGCTTGACGCCTACACCACTGTTGGCAACATACTCTGGTTCAAAAGCATTCCTTCAACAATGGTCCAACGCGCTTGCCTCCGAGCTGGCTCCAAGTGGCATTGACGTATTCTTTGTCCATTCGTACTTGGTCACGTCGTCAATGTCCAAGATCCGCCGAGCGAACTGGCAGGTCCCTACAGAAAAGGCGTTTGTCAAATCCACATTGGCCAAGATTGGTCGGAGAGGTGGGAGCATAGGCTACCCGTACAGTGGAACTCCGTACTGGAGCCACGCCCTGGTTGCAGCGCTGATCACGGGCGTGCTTGGTCCGATGAGCAGCATTTTACTTGGAATCAACAGGAAGATGCATGTGGATATTCGGAGAAGAGCTTTGAAGAAGGCAGAGCGAGAGGCACAGAAGGGCAAGAAGGCTGCATGATGGACGGGGTTGTTGTTAATGTCGCAGGCGTCCCCCGATCTGGCAACTTCGCCAAAGTCGGTCTCTGCAAGAGTTTTGGGGGAGTTGTGTGGTCTGGGAAATGGCCAACATCAAAGTATAGAGGGGTCCTGTAAAACAATGCTTGAGCTACAAGTACTACTTGAGAACATTACCTGTACTCGGTACTTTCAGCCTCGTGTGGGGAAGCCCTGCACTCTGTAAATGCTTTAGTATCTAGGGGCACTGCGGGCGTTTGAAACACGCAAACTTCCCGCCGATGCCGCATGCTGTAAACGTTGCACCCCGCGGTGCAACTTTCAGTAACTTTCCCTGCCCAACCCTTCAGCCGTAAAACCCTCTGTTTGTCGTGGACCTCTAACACAGCGAGTTTGTTTGTGTCCGAGCACATGGCCATGCTGCGCTCAGTCTCGCTGGCAAGGAAACTGACGCTCGACCATGACCCGCGTTGACCTGTCCCTGCGGCAAGCCATTCTACTCAATGATCTCGCGTTAGTGCAGCGAATCCTGAAGCACAATCTCTCATACCTCCAAAACCCGGACTTTGAAGACAAGAGCAACACGTCGTTGCATCTTGCTGCGAAATATGGACTGGAAGAGATTGCGGTGAGTACACGTTGCGGCAGGAGCCACCTTTACTGACCGCTGAACCGCAACACAGGCGTTTCTGATATCTCTCGGTCATGATGGCACTCGCCCGGTCGAAGATTGGATCTACAGTGCCCAGCACGACAATCGGGGCATCTCCGTCAACACAGACGGCCAAACACCTCTGCACCTAGCTGCGGCCAATTCTCAGGCCGGAGTTGCTGAACTCCTGTGCAGGCAGTTCCCACAGACTGTCAATCGCAGAGACCGCAAAGGCCAAACACCTCTCCATCTCGCAGCATCCTCCCAGATTATCCCTAAGCCGAATCTCAGCAACTTTGCGACCAACGGCCCGTCAAGACCGACCCCGGAAGACAACAGAACGATAGAGATCCTCCTTGTCCACGGTGCGAATGTGAACGCGAAGGACGACCTGGGAAATACATGTCTTCACAACGCAAGTGCATGGGGGAACCTCAAGGCCATTCGCGCCTTGATCCAAGCGGGCGCAGACCCCTTAAGTAAGAATAAGGCTGGCTGGACTCCTGAGTACTACAGTATCACAGTGCAGGCAGAGGTCTACTACCGGAATTTGGTCGCAGAATGGGAGAAGAGGAAAGCAGAGGACGAGATGCGGGCCAGCGAGAGAAGAGGGAAAGGGGGCGGATCTGTCCGGCTGGTACCACAAGAGAATGAAAGCGACGACGAAGGAGACAACTCGTCGATCACGGGGAGAAGCCTTGAGAGAAGTACAACAAGGAGTCCTCTGCCTGGGTTTGTCGCTGGTGCTGGAGCCGGATCTGACGTTGGCAACTCAGCGGGACAGAGTGATGCAGGCTTGGGCATCAGCGTAGGCTACGTGGACGCTTGGAAATGAAGCTACTCGGTATGCAACAGATACGCGCTCAACAAAACAAAGAGTGTTGGAGGAAACTGGTGGCCGCACCCGTCTGTAGTGGGGACACTTGGTGGACTTTGTGGCTGACGCTGTGCTTGTGATTCCTGGGGATCTCCGCCTCATGATGGTCATCGATAACGAGGACCCGCTTCGGGTGATGCGGTTCAGAGTCAACCCTCAACTTGACCTGCCTTGCCTGCGTTATTTGCTCCGCCAACACCATCACCGTATCTATAGTACCAGCCTTTCCTTTCCCTTACCTCCGACGCTCGCTTTCGGTGCCTCTCTTCTGCCTGTTTCCTTTCGTCTCCCACGAGCCTATATCTGAACTCCTCTTTGGTCTCTCATTGTGTTCCTTTGGCTTGTGAACCGTCTGTTTCAGACTTAAGGGGTCGACGTGAACCGCGTTTCCGTATCTCCCTCCTTCTCTCCCCACTGTCTGAGCCACCTGTCTGCATTCCCACAGTGCTGGTGAAGTCCTCAATCTACGTCGATTGCAATCTATGGCTAGTCCAGCGCACTGCTTCTATTGCTTCGAAGTGCTGTCCGCCAGCTTTGAACGTCGAGATCCTCCAAGTTTACCGAAGGTGCTCGAGCTATATGAGAATTACATAAAGGGCAATCAGTCCAGTGGGGCATTGACGGAAGAGGAAGAGTTGGGAAATGGCAAGAATCCTGTGAAGGTGACGGACTCTGAAGAAGATCAGGTCGGCGACGAGGAGGATGATGATGATGATGATGAAGATATAGAAGAAGGCGACCAGGAGGAGGACGACGCTGGGGAAGAAGAGATCCAACGCTTTGATCGCCGACACAATAGCAACAAGGCCGGGCCTCAACTCCCCAGCATCTCTCGATTGCAGGCCTCAAGCTCGTCGTCGCGGTCGTCTTCAACGTCCTCCCCTTCTCTGTTCTCTGCCAGCTCTTCCAATTCCCAGCTTACCACTCCTTCCAGTACGACTTCATCGAGCTCTCATTCTCGCCCTTCGTACGCATCACAACTCTCGGCTGCCGAATCGTATCCACTCTTTGTCACCTGGAACACAGTAGGCCGCTCCGGCAACAAAGCTCTCAGAGGATGTATAGGAACCTTTGAGGCCCTCCCACTCGCATCGGGCCTCAGCACCTACGCACTGACATCGGCTTTTGATGATACGCGATTCTCGCCCATCCCGGCCGCATTGCTACCCGCACTCTCTTGCTCTCTGACATTACTCGCAGACTTCGAGCCCTGTCGGGATGCCATGGACTGGACTCTAGGCCTCCACGGCTTACGCATTAGCTTCAACTACCGAAATCGGCGGCACGGCGCAACATATCTACCAGATGTGGCGGTCGAGCAAGGGTGGACGAAAGAGGAGACGGTGGAGAGTCTGATGAAGAAGGCAGGGTGGGATGGAGGATCCGCGGGTCACGGTGTTGCGAGGAGACTTTTGCGAGGGTCGATTAGAGGGACCGCAAGCGACCAGCAACAATCTCGGCCGCCACACCCTTGGGAGGAAGTCCAAGACTTCAAGGCGATCAGGTATACTGGGCTGAAAGCGAGTGCATCTTATTCCGAGTGGCAGGTCTGGCGCAAATGGGCAGAGAAGAATGGTTTCAAGTGAGGAAATCCATCTTATCTACCACATCATCGGCCTCTGGGGGGTTGATATTGATCTTAAGAGACAGCCGTGCGCGTCTGGGGATGTTGTTGCGGTTCATCACGGAATGAATCGTAGGGGTTTAGGCTGAGGGAGTGCAGGATATGCCCTGGGACGCATGTCTCCAGCCTTGCATGGCCAAGATAGACGACCCTCCCGTGGCCTGTGTCCTCAACTCTTCTTGACGGAATACCCTCCTTCAACAGGTGCTGTATACACGGGCGATGAGAGGCGCCAGCCTTGGCTCGGATTCTACGAATTGTAAGATTGGTTGGAATGCCAATGCCCATGATGGGCTTTGGACAAATGACCTGACACTCCGCGCCGGTTGACCTAGGTAAAGTGACCTGAATTCGGATCACTAATCTACCCAAAATCCTCATTGTATACCCGGAAATCAAAGCTTCCGTCCAGGCATATATACCTATGGACAAGTGTGTTCGATGCAGTCATGCTCACCCTTTTAGGAGAAAACCGGAGTAGGTCTAGGGAGATCTCGCGTTGATCGAGGTACACCGCGTTATCTGTCTCCTTGACGTATTCGGATCGACCGAAGCTGACAGATTCTCCTGGTCACTCACAATGAGGCTTTGGAGGAGTTGAGAAGTCGATCATAGCTGTGGGTGGGTGACATGTGGTCGCAGCTTACATAATGCGCGACCCTGGCAAATCCCATAAACTCAAAAAAAGTCAATCGCGCTGCATCCCGAACTTCTCCATTGGTTTCCCTCGACCTGAGAAGCTCCCCATCACACCCGCCGCTCTTTTCCTGTACAATTCCCTTCGGGTGTCCCTAGGTTCTTCAGCTTCATGGACATCTCTTACTAGCTTTAATTAATCCCATTCGCAGCCATGGGGGGACGCGGGCGTATTTCTCCGAAGTCGACAATCGTTTGGCAGCCAGTGGCCACGACTTCCATCACAGCTTCTTCACGACTGAATTCACATCCGTCAGTGTGTCCGTGGTGTCGGACGAGATCACAGTATCCAAAGTCAGCTTCGCCACTTGCCCAGTCGCAAACGAGACGTCACTTCTCGAGCTCCTCGCCTCGGCCATCATGGGCCGCAGCAGTTCAAAAGATCCAAAGCACGGTCGCTGAGGTCCTCCCCTCCTCCGCCAGACAACCGACCGGCAATATCACGATTGATCCCCTCAAGATTGTCGCGAAAGAGTTGAAATTCCTCAACAAGAACATCCGGCAGCTGCTTGGTTCGGGACACCCGATACTAGACACGGTTGCCAAATACTATACGCAGAGCGAAGGAAAACATGTCAGGCCGCTACTGGTGCTGCTGATGTCGAGGGCGACTGCTTTTGCTGCGAAGCAGCCGCGGCCAAGATATGATGTGCAGCATACTTTATCCAGAAGTGCTATTGACACACCGATTACAAGTCCGTCTGTGCTGCTGGACAAGAATCCGGACAAAGACCTCCTGAACTATTCCTCTGCCGTGTCACCATTGACGAATGCCTCGAACGAGACGGAATATGCCTTCCCTAACGATACATCCATTCTGCCTTCGCAGCGACGACTGGCGGAGATCACGGAACTCATCCATACAGCTTCCCTTCTCCACGATGATGTGATAGACCACTCCACCACGCGCCGCTCAGCACCCTCCGCAAACACCACCTTCGGGAACAAGATGGCTGTGTTGGCAGGGGATTTCATGCTCGGGCGCGCATCCGTGGCTCTCGCTCGGTTACGTGACCCCGAAGTGACAGAGCTGCTTGCAACAGTGATTGCGAATCTTGTGGAAGGCGAATTCATGCAACTGAAGAACACTGCGAGTGACGAGAAGAATCCCAGCTGGAGCGAGCAGACCATTTCATACTATTTACAGAAAACATACCTGAAATCCGCGAGTCTGATCAGCAAAAGCTGTCGTGCGGCCGCGTTACTCGGACAGTGCGCCCCCAATGTGGTCGAAGCTGCATATCAATATGGGAAGAATCTGGGCCTGGCGTTTCAACTTGTGGACGACATGTTGGATTATACCATATCTGGGACCGAATTGGGGAAACCTGCCGGTGCAGACTTGGAGCTAGGATTGGCGACCGCGCCGTTGTTGTTCGCATGGAGGAACAGGCCCGAGTTAGGGATATTGGTGGGCAGGAAGTTTTCAAAAGAGGGTGATGTCCAGAAGGTGAATTCCATATGCATTCTTCATGTCATTGCAATCTGAAGCTGACTATCATTGACAGGCTAGGGACATCGTATCGCAGAGTGACGGTCTCGAGCAGACTCGCGCCCTGGCTCAGGAATATGCAGACAAGGCTGTCTCCTCAATCAGCGCATTTCCACCCGGCGAGGCCAAGGACGGCCTGGAAGAGATGTGTATAAAGGTTATGAAGCGTCGAAAGTGAGCAATCGACATGTTTCAATTAGCTCAACTTCTACTGTACCATACATCTACTCAGATGATTCTAAAAATGCAGAAGGTTTACTCAACATTGAAAGGTCTGAAGGCTTCATCACCGGTTCCTCGCAGCAGAGGAGTCAATGGGAATCCGGCAGTTGTGGACTTGCGATTTATTAACTAACAGACGAACAAGAACGACAATATCAGTCAATATCGTGTGTAGGTGTCCAGGTGTCTATACTCTGATTCGTCCAAACGTCCTTGAACAGATGCAGTCGAATGCGCCTTGCCCAGCATAGCCGCACCTGCGCCTACAACATCTCTTCAAAATTCCTTCTCTGTCTTCTGTCTTCACTTTGACTGCATTTCCATGGTTTCTGCACACACACACACACACACACACACACACACACACACACACACACCACACACACACACACACACACACTAGCGTGC